ATGGCTTAAGGCGTTGAAAGGCGCGACTACAAGCTCTATTCGATTGTAATCTTGTAATTTCTTCCGAGAAATGCGCACGTTGAAGTTCACGCAATACTAGCAACTCGGCATAGTCGTAATCGGACGCTAAGACATACGAACGTCGCGGTAAAAGCTTCGCGAATCGACAAACGTAAATTACGCTACGCAATAATTTCGACCAAGAGAACAAACGGTTCACCAAAGCAATGATTGGAGAAACCTCGCTCGAGACGCTCGCTACCAGAGCGTGCTTCTTCTCTTCCGGCGGATGTGACACTGACGAAGGTTCGAAATCGGTTATTGGACATTGCGAGGGTTCCAAGTTAACCCAAGAAGGTCCGCGGAACCAAAACGGATGGTCCATTATTTGCATCGGGGTGAGTCCACGGGATAGACAATCGGCAGTGTTTTCCGCACCGGACACGTGATAAAAGTTCCGTGTTCCTAACTCGTCTTGGATCTTGGCCACTCGGTTCGCAACAAACGTATCCCAATGGTGGGGTGAAGAATGAACCCAAAATAAAGAGACGGTTGAGTCAGAAAAGGCAAATATCCTTTCTATGTGAACTCTTCACTACAACACCTTTTCCAAACAATGTCATAAACGCCAGCCATACCTTAAAATCTTCTGTTACTAAAAGATAGGGAGCATTAAAAGGATCATACACAAAGGCTTCTTTTGAAGCTCCCTTCTTATGGGCACTGATAACTGCGGTGATAAGTTTGGTAAGGACTAATATCGCGCAAAGCTCCAAGCGCGCCAGAGAGACAACCTTACGGGGGGAGACTCTCGACTTAGAATTAATGAGGCTAATCGAATTTCTACCATTATTCTGGACGTGGAAATATACAACGCCCCCGTAAGCCTTCTCGCTGGCGTCTGCAAACCCAACGACCACTGAGGACGCTATTTCTATCGACGTTTATATGACGCGGTATTTTAATTTCTCTTAGTAAAGGAAGTTCCTCTCTAAAACGCTGCCACAACCGAACAATGCTGTCAGGCGGCGAGTCATCCCAGTCGCATTCAAATAACCAAAGTTGTTTAATCAAAAGCTTAGGGTATAATACCACCGGAGCTACGAAACTCATGACATCCCATAATCTAGCAACGCATGACAGTATTGTACGCTTAGTGAACTTCTCTACGGGCGGGTTTACCTTAAGGCTAAATACGTCGGACTCTGGTGACCAACACTGACCGAGCACCTTGTGCGTGTCAGAATCGTCGAATTCCTTTATCGCCGAAAGACGGTGTGATAGTGGAATTGTGTCTAAAACCGGACGCGAATTACTAGTCCACTTGACAAGATCGAATTGACCCGCTTTCATGAGCTTTATAACCTCGGCGGTGGTTAGGGTGGCCTCCTCCACGCTATCGACCGAGTATACAAAATCATCCATATATAAACCGCTCTCAATTGCCCTCTTAGCTTTAGGGTAACAGGGACCTTCATCGTGAACGAGCTGTCTCACCGTGCGTAACGCATGAAATGGACTCGACTTTAAACCAAAACAAACGCGGTTAAATTCAAACACCATTAGAGTCCTTACGATATAAAATGCGTTGGAATCTACGGTCGCACTCACGGACCCCTATGGAAACAAAGAAACATTTGGCGAATATCGGCGGATAGTGCTATACTAAACAAACGAAAATTGGCTATTATATTAAATAAACTACCCTGTAAATTTTGCCCACTATAGAGGATATCGTTACGCGATAGGTGAGTGCTAGTTTTAGCACTAGCGTCGAGCACTACACGTAACTTAGATGTAAGTTTGTCCTCCCTAATGACCCCGTGGTGTGGTATGAAATACGACGGTGTGTCTTCGTAGTTATCTAATTTCGAAGCCACAAGTGATATGTAACCTTCCCTTATATATTCGTTAATGACGCCGTCATAAGCTTCTTTTAACTAGGGTGAAGTAAGCATCCTACGTTTCAAGCGGTAGAAACGTTTTTCCGCCATTTGACGCGAATCGCCGAGAGATAAAGCATCTCCTTTAAAGGGTAGCGCTACACTATATCTAACGTCGAGATCACGAACGGTCGTGCGGACGTAAATTTCCTCGCATAATCTGTCATCTGAGCTAGCTATGGGTGGGACGTTCACCTCCTCCATCTCCCAAAATTTGCGGACTAACGACTCGAGCGGTTCTACAGCCATACAACAATAAGAGGTTGCCGAAATATTATCTGTGATGGGGTCGGAGCCAACGATGACATAGCCCAATACGGTTTCCAGTGCGTAAGGCGCGGTATGCGAGGAGTTGCCCCTGACCTTATTGTTTAACAGAGGAAAAGCTCCATAATGTCATTTTCGGAACGGCGTAAGTGTCGTCTGCTAGAGTCAAATTTTTAAATTCAATCATTGCCGAGGTGTCAACCGAAACGGTTGGCAGCCGTTCAGTGACCCTATCTACTACTAGTGCATTTATATCAAAGTTAACATTACGATCTATCCGAGAATAAAATTTTAAATTTATATATCCCTGGGTAACTTTACTAGTACCTCCGATACCTTTGACTACGGGACATGAAAGTGACCTATTTATTACTAGGCCTAAGCGCTGACAACATTGTCGCGTTATAAAGCTATTTTGGGCTCCGATGTCCAGCAGTGCACGGATGCCCTGTTCGTTTCCACGCGAATCCCTGACCAAAATACATGCCGTACCCAGTAACACGGTTGAAGAAGGTTCTGCTCCCATATTTGCCAATGAGCACAGAGCGACATCACCAGGTCGACCGCTAGAATCGTTGACTTTGGTAGGGGTGAATTCCTTGTCCGCTTTGCTTGAACGCAGATATGTTGCTATTTTCGAAATGTAGCAACGTGTGATGTTTTCTGGCGCACTTGTTACACGCGGAACTAGAATTGCATTTTGCAATTAAATCTTTAACAGTGTTTGTCTTTACTATTTTATAACGTTCGCTTGGTTAATATTTACGAAAGGTCGCACAATTGTATAAATTACCGTCTTTACATATGATACAGGCATGCTGAAGTGGTGCCGACGTAGCGGTTACTTACGTTAACGAAAAGAACCACAAATTTATCTAAAAACTGCTCTAAGCCGTTGATGTTCGCGGATGATATAGGTTTAAGATCGAATATCTGGTTCAAATATTCGGAAGCTAACATTCTCCTATCTTCATATTTAGTTTTAAGCGTTTCGAATATTAACAAGTAATTTTTTGCTGTAGGTGTAAAACCCGAGCAAATTGACTGTGCCCTGCCACTAAGTTTACTAATTAAATAATATAATTTTTCAGCGTCCGATAACGATGGGTTATTATTTATATTGTTTTGAATACTGAAGAAGAAGGGCCATGTCTTAATATCACCATTGAATACCGGAATATCTATAGGCGGCAAACTAATTGGGTCACGTGGGCGTACCTGAATTTCCGGCTTTGCTTCGTTTTGAGATGGAGACTGTAACAGCTTCGCCGTTCTTTTCACGCGACACAACATATATTCAAATGCTAGAAGCGGTTGGTAGTTAACTATATATTTCGAGTCGATTTGTAATTCCAAATGATTAATTTGGTCTAATATCCTTTCGTAAGTCGTCCGCAAAGAATCCACCATTTCAATTTCATTTAAAAAAGTTTCCCGCACTGCTTCTATATTAATGTTCTTTATGTGATCACTAATACTTTGTATACGTGAAAAAAGTATGTCCCTCTTGGCATAAAGCGTTTAATTTTAATTTCATTTCCCCTAACTGCCATTTTAAATTATTGTAATTAATATTATATTAATCACAATTAATCGCACAACGCTGGAGGATGGACACGCTTGCCATATTACGTCGTTAAATTGAACACCTGTACAGCGAGCCGAGGTGACGCGCGTCGCCGCTAAACTCAATATATTTTTATCAAAATTGTCGGGTAAGCGTACAAAACGCGTGTGATTACACTGTTTCAATTACTTAAGCGACTAATAAGCTTTAAATTTAAACCAAATACAAACACTATTTAAATGAATAATTCTATTTGCGAGTAACTAACCAAAATTTAAATTTAAACTAAATGAATACTATTAAAATTAAGAATTAATTCTATTTTCAAGTAACTAACCAAAAGTTTAATTTTAAACTAAACGAACACTATTAAAATGAATAATTAATTCTATTTGCAAGTAACTAACCAAAGTTTAATTTTAAACTAAACGAATAAGTCATTCCAAGATCATTCAATTACTAACACCAAAAATGTTGAACACTACTAAACACCAGTCCAAATCCGCCAAGGACCATAAAATGGTACAACAAACACCAATTCCCCGTCCCAATGAAACCCAAATCTATATGCAAATCTTCCCAAAATCACTATAGCACGCGGCCAACTCTCTCCCAAACAACCAAATCTATGAAAGGATCTCTTGAAGGAGAAAATGAAAATTGGAGCGGATTAACTATTAAACACAATTATATCAAGCAGGAACTAGTAGGAATGTTCACTCACCGGGGTGTTGCTTCTATGCGGCTTGGCACTATGTTATGTTGCTGCGCTGTGACCTCTGGAAGACACTCTGGGGCCCCAGAGGTGATTTGTTGTCCGGTGATGCGTCGGGAGAGAGTGCGGTGCGCGACTATTTCTCACACGAGGTGAAGCGGGTTTCCTGGAGCTCGACTACTTCCAGGCTAAGCGGTTATACTAGCGGTGCGCGTGGGCAATAGCCCTTCTATGACACTATTGTCTTAAGCGGTGTAGTTCCAACGACGAGCGCGACGGGAAGAGAGTGCACATCGGTCGCGCGTGCCTTTTATTCCTCCGTAATATTCCAGAATCTTCTTCTCTCGCCTCCCACCCCACCACCCCGATGTGTCGATAGGAGGGTAGGAATATTATCGTTTTGGAAAGGGATAAACGATTTGGCAAGCTTACCGTCAATAAAATAAATACGAATGGTTTTCCGCGCAACCTTATATTTTACACTTTACTATATCTATTTTATTACTTCTCAAATTGTCGTAACTCTTTTTATAGGAGTTTTGAAGTTTATTTCCTTTTCCTCTTGAGAAAATTGCATTGTTGCTTCTGCTGTTTTACACCAAGCTTCATTGTTGCTATCGCCCAATAAAACTATATTCCCTGAAAAACAGAAAAAAGGTCACAAAATATAATGATAAATGCCCATACCAACTAATAATGAAGCACTGTTACACATACCAGGCTTAGGTAGTTATTTACATGGATAACTCTTACCATCAATATCACTATCGATATCCACAGCATTGTTAGTAAGGATATTTTTATCAATATCCATGACTTTGGAATCGATGGGATCCATATCCACAACAGATGGCCCACCTGTTAAGTGGCGAATATTTTCTTTCGTTTTAGACTCCCTTGCTTTTGCCTTCATATTAAACTACACTTTATTACCACAACTTTATTAATTGTTTAGTAGATACCTGAAATAATGAAACGTATGGAAATTAGATAACTGGCTAATACAAAATCGGCTCATAGAAAAAGACCATGACACATACATGAAACTACATATCTGTAAATAATAAAAGTATACAAAACCCATTATATTACCTTTTGAGTAAGATTCATTAAATTCCTCCGCTATTTTCTCCCATGACTGCTTCTTTTTAAAAGCACTATTGGCATTTGTTTGTTTATAGGTTAGGATAGTACCATATTTCTGGATGATTGAAGTAATTTTGTTTTCTGTCTACTGCGGCTTTGGTTACAATTATTTTTCGTAAATGAAAGTAGGATTTTTTAAAATAGAATAAGTGTTCTAAACGAGCACAAAGTCCACCTGATGTAAGAAGATGCTGTGGCCCTTAGACATCTACATTTATCATCGATTAAGTATCATATATTTTTTGAAATGCATCGTTTCCAGTAAAAAGGGTCTCCGGTTCACAACACTCACCATACGTGATACATAGCAGCATTAGTAGCTGCTATTTTTACGCTGTAGTATTCTGTGACATAAACTGGTCCTACCCACTTCGAGTTGATTTCATTCGACTGCTACAACCATAATATATCTGCAGTGTGGCACAATCTCAAACGAATTGCGCAGCGAAAGTTAAATAACATATTGTTGATTACGTTACTATTTAAAATGTAACTTTAAAAGTATTAATATTTATCGTATATTTATCTCTCTTTATATCAGTCTATATTTCTCTTCCTCTCTTTTTATATGCAAAAAGTTTCTTAATACCTTAATTAGGAGCAATAATGACTTCACTATTACGTATTGTCGACATCTGCTTCCTGATGCGCGTAATTATGGTTTCTAATTTCAGAGTGTTAATTGAATTCACCCTTAAAAACTAAAATATAAAATAATACCTTACTAGATATTATTTTATTTTATTAATCATTTGAAACCACTTCTTGATAACTTTAAAATGATTTATCGAAATTGTAAATCTAAAATTACTTACACATTTAACAATAATTTGTAATAAAAGTAATTTTTGGTAAAGTTATTAGCCGCGTCTGAATCTACTTCGCTCATATAACTTGTATACTTTCGTATTTTAGACAAGCTTTACGAGAGACAGTTATTTTAATTATTATTCGGACTTAAAAAAAGAACCAAAGAAATCTAGTTCTTTGTTCGTTCACTAGTTCTATGGACATTTACCGTAACATATTTATGTTGAATTATATACGGCCATAAATATTAAAAGAAGAAAAGAATGTGACAATTCCTCATTTAGTCATTACTTATTGTAGTATTTTTGATTAACCCTCGGGAGCGCTTACTCCTCTCCACACAAGTACCCACACTACATACGGGCGCGCGATGTATCTGAGAGATAAAACAAAAAGTTCATTACATATGTACTAATTAATCTATCAAAATTGTTTGTTTTAAATATATATATATATATATCATTTACATTTATCGCATTTGAAGAACAATAAATGTTTAATGGAGCTAAATTTTTAAAACTTTTTTATAATTCTTTTATGAGTATTAATTCTTTTTGTATTCAATGTTTTTAATTGAGTAAATTACAATAAAAAATAAACAGTCTTTTAAATTGAAATTAATTATTAAATAAATATAAAAGAGTAAAAAACAGTACGTGGGACGTAACTTTAACTTATAATATAACGTACAGTTTTCATGATGTTCTTTTTGAAAATAAACAAACATATATTGTTAATATGAATCATTTTTATCTATAAACATAGAATATTGTTAGCACCAACTATCCATTGCTAACATTGCTATGAGCCATCGTCACAATAAAACAAATATATAAAAGTCTAAATATTCAGTGCAACAATATATTTTTGTCGATAAAAATATATATATATATATATATATATATATATACGAACCAAAGAGTATATATTTAAATATTAAGAATATTCATTACATGTAAGTGCATGCATATTCGTACTACCACTGGATAATTACACCTACGGATTAGTGTGGATTAGTGAGCAAGCCTAGCTTGCTAACTAATTTAGCAAATTGCACACTAAGTAGATCCGTTGCTGAAATGCACAATAATTTAATCTACTATTAATGAGATTCTCTTAGGTTGCTATAACCCGGTATGATAAGATAAATCAAAAGCATTATAAGATAGACATAATTATTATCATACAATAAACATAATGTTATGTTATGGAAATTACTAGTATGAACTAATAGTCTAGCTTTAAATAAAATAATTTTTACGGGTTTTACTCTATTTTATTTGATATAATGATTTCTTATATTTACGCGAACACTACACATTGATTAAAACTACTTTTACGGATTTTATCGCATTTTATTTATTTTATTTAGAGTCGTGTTCAGCACCCATGGTCACGGGGGGGTGGGGCTGGAAAGCACCCGAAACGTCTAAAAAAAAAAAAAAATCCTAAATATAGTTTAATATATTTTATTTGAGATATTAATTCCCGAATTTTCGGGTTCTTTATTGCACATGAGCTCGGCGGAAGTGAAGTGTTTGACGTCGCGTCGTTAACTTGGGCTACTATCAGCTATAGAATTTAATTTTTAGTCCGATCTACGCAAATTGAGCTTACTGTATCTTGAAGTCTTGCGGTGGTACGCTTGGGTTTTAATTTAATTTTTATTAATTATACGATACCAAGCAGATGGTAAAGCCGTGTGCACGGCGAAAACTTCGTCTATTGAAATTTCGATGTTTTTTTTTAATTTCATTAGCCTCGAGAATATCCTTACTATTAATCGTTTTTTTTTTCGAAGATTTGTGGTTTATCAAGTTTGATGTAATGGTGGAAACGATCTTGAACATGTTCAGACTGCAGACTTCCCGGAGCGTCGATGCTTCAGGTGAGCTATATATACTTTTACGCGGGTTTTGATAGATCGTTTTGTTTGTCCTATGTATGAGAGACCACATTCATAATCAAGTTTCTACACTTATGATCATGTAGGCGAATGTTACACTCGACGGATGGTAAAAACTGACGTATCTTCTTCGACGGCTTGTAGCATACATTATAAAAGGTCGCTTCAAGATAAAACTACTCTGCCAATGATCCCTGTAAAATAATATGGTAGTATTCTACACACACTCAAACGTGATCGGTTACGATTAAACTCGATCACTATGAAGTATTGAGCCCAATGCCGCAGCATTTATTTAATACAAGCGGAAACCTGTTGTGTGCTACTATGCTATGCGTTATGCTATGAGTTACCCCTACTATATTATGGCATTCTATAAAAATTTAACAAATTTCCCTTTAAATATATTTTAGGCACGCAAATGTAATGTTAAAACATATATTACAAGTATGTTATTTGTTGTTGAAGAAAGAGTGATAAACGAGCACACAGTTTACCTGATGGTTAATAAATGTTGTGGCCAATAGATAACAGACATCTACATCTATCTTCGGAAATCGAAGAATAATGCTCTGTAAAAGTTTACATGTCGAGCAATCGATACTTGAAGCTTCCAAGTGATATTCAACAGCTGATCAGAGCGAAAAACGCACCCCTTAGACAAGGTGATTACTATCGCATAATAGATAACATATTTTGACTGCGAAACCTCCAAATGAGGTAAAATAACACCATACCGAGTTCAGATACGATAAGTGGTATAATCTGCTGGAAGACATAGAGCCATCACAAACATTTCTCTGGCAGTTGACCCGAGCTCTGAAAGCAGAACAATCCTCACCCATGTCACCTCTCAATAGGCCAGAAAACTCCGATCTCGCCTTAGACAACTCTGAAAATGCCAAATGCCACGCAGACAGTTTAGAGAGCCAATGTAATTTCTCTAGCGATCCTATAGATCCCGATCACCTCGTAGATGTTGAGCGTAAGTCTTCATTACCACCTCCGGGAGATCATTTAGACCCTGTGACAATCGATGAAGTTACAGAAGTACTAAAAAGCCTCAAAAATAAATCAGCACCCGGCCCTGATGGAATTAGCAACAGGGTACTTAAATCACTATTAGCGCCACTCTTTTGCCTCCCAGTGGGCATTCTTAACGTCTTTCTTACAAACTACTCCTTCCCGAACGCCTGGAAAGAAGATGGCGTTATAGGAATCCTTTAACCAGGGATACCGCGCAACTTAGCCTCCAGTTACGAACTCATTAGTCTCTTCAGCACACTGGGGAAAATATACGAGCGACTCATACTAAATCGTCTCCAAAAATACATTCCGCATATTTCTGCAAAACAACGCCTGATTCTATTAATTGATTTCGTTTTTGACATTTTTCTGTTTCGGAATAATTTATTTAACTCTAAGATTGTAATTTGTTTAAATCAATAATGCAATATTATTATCAACCTTTCTTTTTTTGGTTAGTTATGCCCTCTATTCGTATTATTATTATGCTATGTCGGAAGAGAAAATGTTGATTATTTATAAAATAAAAAAACTTATTATTCAATAATCGTATAGGAATCGTGAAAATGAATTTATTATATTATTAAGAATTGAATTCATCTATTTCCGAAAAATAATATTATAGTCGATATTTTTTCCAAACACCGATAAAAATTTTAAGCTCGATTTTTTCCATATTTATAAAATGATAGTTGTGCCTTTTCCATTATGACGGCAGTATGGATCACACCATCTACTAACCTCCGTTAATTTTGTGTTTGTTCGTCACCCTTATACTGTAAAAAGAAAATAAAGGTATTTTCCTAAGTTCAACTTTAAAACTGGTTAATTTATAAAGTCTGTTAGTTGTGAACGTTTTGTCATGAAAAATGATTTATTAATCTGTTACAACTTAAACAGACTTTTAGCATCGTTCCAAACTTTTAGTAATGAGAAGATGAATTAAAGTCTTTAAAATCTTAACAATATTTAGGCTAAGTTTTTATTGCATAAAAGGTGAAGTTTCTTCGCATTTTATATACAAT